CAGTGGCAAGAAGCCTGCCGCCGTAGTAGAATACCAACGCCTGGCAACCGAGACTCACGCTGTCGGCAAAGCCATACAGCGCAGCTGTCCACTGTGCTTTTCGGCGAGCCTCGAGGATGTGACCATTTAGGAGCTTCTCGTACCGCGCGTTGATGGTGGACTCCATGCCGAGGGAAGAGACCGTCCTGATTGCTCCAATGGCCTCCGTTGCAAACTGCGAGCTCTCTCCGAAGACAGCCATGTTCATTTTGTCGAATTGGACCTCATGTCTGTACTTCCAGAGACCTGCGCCCAACATGATTGGCATGGTGATGAACATGGCAACCAGACCGAGCTTCCAGCCAAAGATGAGAGCGATGATGACACATCCGAGAACGGTAAAGACGCCAGAGAGCAACATGGCCAGGTTCAGCCCGAGGAGTTCCTCCAGCAGCTTCGCATCGCCCGAAACCCTGGCGCTGAGAGCGCCGTGAGAGTTCTTGTCCTGGTCGAAAAAGCTAATCTTCTGGTGAAGCATGTCGGTCAAATATTGCCTCTTGTACTCGGCGCTGACGAAGTACTGCAGCCGCAGGCCGACCCAGCCCTGGGCGACGTACGCGAGGCCGACGCCCCCAGCGAGGGCGAGCCACATCAGACCCCAAAAGCTCGCCTGTCTCCTCAGCTCGTCGCCGCTTAGTAAAAATACGGCAATGACTTTGGAAAATAGCCATGCTTGTATCGGCGTCCCGGCCGCGGTCGCCATGCAAGACAAGATGACGGCGGCGTAGGACGTCCACTTTGCTCGCCTCTCAAAGAGGAGTTTACCAAAGCTGCGGACCAGGCCTCGAGGCTCATGAGACGAATCGCCCTCAGCAGTGTCGCTAAAGGCAGCACTTCTGAAGTGCTCATGACCATTAACCTTCTCCTCTGTTTCCGAATCAAGCCCAGAGGTAGATGCCTCGGACAATGACTTCCCAGGCGTTGACAAGTTCAGTGCTTGAGCTCTTACCAGGGAGCTGTAGACACTGGATGGGTCGCTCAGGAGACTTTGATGTGTTCCTTGCTCGACTGCTTGGCCCTTCTGTAGGACCACAATATTGTCTGCTTTCTTGATGGTTGAAAGCCGATGGGCGATGGTAATGGTAGTTCGACCCTGCGTCACTCTGTCGAGCGCTGCCTGGACTATCTTCTCGCTCTTGGCATCGATAGCACTGGTCGCTTCGTCGAGAATGATGATGCGCGGCTTCTTGATAATACTTCTGGCAATGGCAAGTCGTTGTTTTTGGCCACCTGAAAGCTTCGCTCCGCCGTCGCCAACTCGGGTATCATAGCCCTGTGAAAAAGTCAAAAGTCAGTCAAATGTTCTCTAGCGCAATCAGCTGCTAGATAGAAACAATTGTGTTTTACTCACATCAGGTAGTCGGCTGATAAACTCATGGGCGTACGACTCCTGACACGCGTCACGAACAAGCTCTCGCTTCACCGTCTCGGGTTCCTTCTCCCACTCGGTACCGATGAGACCATTCGCGACGTTGCTGAAGATGGTGTTGTTGAAGAGGAAGGGCTCCTGCTGGACTAGACCGACTTGCGATCTCCACCACTTGAGGTCAAGATCCTCGAGGTTTACGCCGCCGACGGTGATTGTGCCGGCCAACTCGGGTCGAATGAGTGACTTTGACTCGTCAGTGACGCTCTCAACCCTCTCGGCTCCTGGCTTCTCAGACGATGCATCGTCAACGACCCGGGGCAATGCGTGCTGCTCTCTTAGACTGTACCACCGCTCCAGCAAGCCGACAATGGTACTCTTTCCCGATCCGGATGGACCGACGAGGGCGACATTCTGACCTGGCTGTATGCGGAAGCTCAGCGAATTGAGAACCTTGACTCCAACTCGGCTGGGGTACTCGAACGTCACGTCCTCGAAGACAATATCCTCTGCGTCGATTTCAGGCTTGAGGGTACCAGAAGGAGGCAAAGGAGCGTCAATGACTGTAAAAAGCTCACAGGCCGCGACCATTGCCTTGCTTACGGCGATGACCGGCGTTGAAATTCTCTCCAACGAGGTCAGAATCATCATAACGGACATGAGAACCACGACAACCACGCCAGCATCGCTGAGGGCGCCAGCAATGTATCTCTGCGTGCCGTACCAGAAGGCCAGGCCGAAAGCGCCAAATACGCCAAAGAACTAAAATCAAGTTAGCTCTCGCTTACGATTTAGGAACTCGACTGAAAAAGGGGAGTAAACGTACGATAAGGCCAAACTGAATTGCAACAACGGGAGCAGTTTTCTGAGCCCGCCTCCTGGCTTCGTGCACCCATGCCTCGTAGCGAGAGATAATGTGCTTCTGCGCACCGCAAGCCATGACCAACCGCACTCCGCCGAGAGCCTCACTGGCGATTGCGGTGCCCTGGGCATCAGCTTCCGTCGTTTCAGTCTCTCCCTTGACAATCACCGGTAAGCAGAAGGACAGAACTAGGAGAATGTACAGGATCAGCGACGAAGTGACCAAGGTGAGATCCCAGCTCCAAATGAAGGCAATGACCAGGGCAGCCCAGATCGTGCCGTTGAACTGCAAGAATGTCCCTAGACGATCAGAAATGCCGATCTGCAAGGTGGCAGACGTGCCAGTGATGGCCGTCGCGGCGGCGCCGGGCGGCATCGAGTCAATGACGTGGATCGACTGGTCAAATAGCGAGCGCAGGTAGTGTAGGCGGATAGCGGACGAGAGCCGGATCCCAATCATTCGGAAACAGAACTTGTTGATAGCGTTGAGGAACCAGCGGCCGAGGAAGAGCGCCGTGATGTACAGAGCCTGGCGGTTCAGGAGGCTCTCAAACTGCGCCGTGGTCACGGTCGAGCCGTCGGCGAAGTAGCCTGTAAACTGGCCGACGAGCTGGCCAAAGATGATGTTCATCAGAGGTAGCGTCACGCCCGCGGCGATGGACGCGAACGCCGCAACCACATAGACGAAGAAGTCCCATTTCGTTGCGTAGGTGAAGACCCTGAGATAATCCGCAAACTTTGGCTTTCGCACAGGAGCCTGTGTACCCGCCGTCGAGATGGTCTCGTCGGTTCGGACTGGAATCTTCGCCATGTTGAGGCACCACCTTCGTAGGTGTCGTCGTGTCTCTTAGTCTTGATCTTCTTTCTGGCGTTGAGATATCAATGTCGTGCAAAGAGGCTTTCCGTCCCAGATTAGTGCCCCCTTTTTTGCCTTCCGTGTGTTAGTCTGACAGTTTCCTTCCAGACTTTGACAGGAGAAGGAAATTGAAGGTTACTTTTGGGGATGTGAGAAATCCGTCCGTCCGGATTGCTTTCCTGCTTGCTTCATCCATCCTGATGACCTTTTGTCCCATTGATGTTTTGACGTCAGAAGGTCCGACCTCGTGCTTCAAGGCGACGGACGTCCTTTTCCTCTGGTTCTTGGGCCTCTTTTTTTTGCCTTATCTTGTCTTCCCTCTTGACGGCAATGTGCATGCAGCAAATCGAAACGAGGCACTGCTGTCGATAGGCCGTGTAAGTGGAGGTCCGAGAATTTTAGAAAAAAAACGAGCCGAGAGCTACTACATGATGAGACTATTTCTTTCGCGACGGCGAGACCGAGGTGGAAAAACCATAAAAGTCTGATGATGAGTAGATGTGAAATCTCTCAGTCTCCCATAGACACGGGACTTGATGAAAGCCCGATGCGATATCTCCCTTCCATTTTCGTACCTCTTTCCACAGTTCGTCTCTGGAAAGCTCGTCCTACGCTTGAAGCTGTCTCAGACGGGCACTTGACAGAATGCAAACTACTGCAAGGGCCTCACTAATAACCGTTTTTGGAAGGCGTAGAGCCGTGCGCTCGGGAGCCCGGGTTCGATCCAAGAGACAACAGGCGACTTTGGACCAATCACGGTAGTCTTCTCATACCCGACTGTCCGTAGACATCGTTCAAGTAAGACTAGGGTAAGCAGCCCAAAGCAAAGACTTATGCATCGGTGAAAGGTGGGAAACACGTCCTCGGGGCTCGGAATTGCGCTTGCAAGACCGATACTGATACGGGTGGCGATGCTGCAAGCTGCAGAGTGTACCAACGTGAGGACGGAAGCTATCGCTTCCCCCTTCTTCCTCTTTCGACTCTAAGGCATGGAATTCTGTGAGGCGGACCTGCTGCGTCAAAGTCTTTGCGCTTGCGCTTGCGCTTGACGGAAGGCGATTTCCAAGCTTCATTCCTCTTCTCACAGTGTGATAGTGCCTTTGACCAGTTACCTAGGCAAGGAGTCAAAGCCGAGAAACTGAGGCCATCGGTCTCGGGAACTATTGACCAAAGCTGCTGTTCATCGGAATGTGCCTCACGACAAGGCGAGCCTTTTTGCAAGCCTCACTTGATCCCTTGAGCATAGTTCCGCTCCCGTCCTATTTCTAAAGGCACACGAGTTCAGGTGACTGAATTCAGTTGACGATCTAAAGTTTGTCTGGAAGAGATAGAGTCAGAGACTCATGGCAGGCTGGGTGTTAAGCTTCAGAGAGAGCAAACCGCTTCCACCGTGTCCGTGGGCGCTCCTGCATAATGAGGCTGCGCACCACTGACTGGTTTCCAATCGTCGAGGCGGATTCTTGTAGCAGGAGAGGTCTTTAGCCGATGTCGTCTGCTCCGGTGTGTTCCATCTGCTTTGTCAGCTCGGACAGATCTTGTACACCGGGAGTTGATATCTTGAAGAACGCCACTGCTCTAGGAAGTCGGGAGCACCTTAGCTCAGTAACTGGATCCTGTTATGGTGGTCAAGGGCTCTTTAGCATCTTGCTGTCTTAATGTGCCCCAATTGCATGCTGCCTCACTGATTGCTAAAAGACATCAGCTCTCAGCAGATGGTCTGTGGCGATTTCTCCCAGAAGAACGATGGGTGTCATACGCGAACGTGATTGCATCTTGGCCACAAATCTGGCAGAACTTTTAGTCATTGGGTATCTCTCTTCATGAGCCGTGTTTCCATCCTCTCTCGACCAGACCAACGACTCGCTTATGTTTTGCTGATCACATGTATCCACGTATACCCCGTATCACACCCGACTTTTTCTCCTTCTTGTCGCCGCTGCCGCTGCCGCCGCCACCTCCACTCCCACCACTGCCACTGCCACTGCCACCCTCCTCCTTCTTCTTCCCCTTTTCATCTTTCCGTCGGTTCTGTACTCCACCTGGAAAGAAAAAGAAAAACAAGTTTCGATTAGTTGATCCGCCAGAACCCATCTCGGAGCCGAAGCCGGGCCGATGTTCCAGACTCACCTCTGCCGAAATATCTCGGATCTGTCGTGGTCGGGCTAATGGCCTCGTCCGTCTCAATTGGACTGGAAGGTACGGGCGGGAGATGAGCGCTCGAGGGGACCGGAGTCGACGGCTTCGACATGATCGGCGGTGTCGCATTGTACGACGTCGGGTTGAGGAAGTCGTGCTCTGATAAGACCCTGTGGATCCCCGAGTGACTACCTCTCGTCGTGACCGGACTGCTCGAGTGCGTCGAACCTTCTCCGTCACCGTCCATGCGGAAGACGAAATCACCCCGGCCGTGAGAGTTCGAAGATCCTACCGAGAACCGGTTCTCCTCTAGTTGCGACTGCAGCACCGTGTACTTCCTCATCAGGCTCGTGTATTGCTTTTGAAGCTCAGCCTGCTTCGCCCGACTCGCAGCCAGCGCGGTTTCGACTGCCGCCTTGGTTTCGGCATTCCTTCTGCTATGAATGCCTTCATGCGCCTCCAAGAGTTTCGAGTTTAGCACACCAATCTGCGTCTGGAAGAGCTTCTTCGTCTTTTGAAGCTCGCCCTCGCGCGCTTGAAGCTTCAATTCCAGGATCTCGGCTCGGTTTTCCGCTTCCGCAGCAGTTGTGATTGCCGCCTGTCTTTCTGCCTCCTTGGCTTGCAGGTTTCTTTCAGAGATCGACAGCCGCTCTACATCAGCCTTCAAGCGGTCATTCTCGGCAGCATTGATTTCGACGGACTGCATGGTCTGCTTCGAGTTTAGCTCCTTGACCTCGGCGTCGCACACCAGCTTCTTAAGTTTCTCGCTCTCTTCGCGTGCACCCTGCAGCTCTTGCTGAAGAGACTGAATTTCTGTCTTGGTCTTCCTCGACTCCTCACGCAGAGTTCGCAGTTTTGCGGACAAGTCGGACTCCCACTTCTTGGCCAACGTTCGGCTCTTTTCCGATTCTTTCCTGATTTGATTCTCGGCCTTCTTTGAGTCTTCCAATCGCTTCCTCAGCGTCCGGTTCGTCAAGATAAGATTTTGGGTTTCGGCTTCACTTGCAGCTTCCCGAACTTGTTTGCGGCGCAACTCGCCGATATGCGCCATGTGTTGCTGCTTGAGATACCTTTCAAAGTTCAAATCATTGTGGAGTAGCAGAATCTGCCTCTGCAAATGTGCAACTTGAGATTGTCCTTCAGCAACAGACGTCGGTGTAGAAATGACTGGCAGAGATGGAGGCATGTGCCCAGTTGGAGCCTTCTCTGCTGCCGAGTCTGGATGGCTCAACGCGAGTGATGGCACACTGTCATTAGCCAAAGACTGATGAAGTCCTGACTTGATAGCTTTGTTCGATTGGATCATATCCTGCAAATGTGTGTGGGAGGTCGACGGAACTAGCTGAGGTGGCAACGTCGGACTATCCCCAGCGATGTCTATCTTGGGGGCTTCCAAGGAGTTTCTGTGCGAGGGCTGACTGGAAAGCGAGCTTTGACGTTGGCTGGTCGAATGCACACGGCTGCTTGCTCTCGAGTTTTGGTCGAGATCTCGGTTGCTTCTCCAGCTCTCGGCGCCAGGTTCCAAGCTGGATCCGCTGAGCAAGGCGGGCCCGAGACCGTCTCGATCAGATTCATCACTGAGAAGGGAGATGTCGCCTTCAGCAGACTGCATACTGTCCGGCTCGACAGCCGCGAAGCCTTCTGGCGAAAACCGCAGCGCCATGCACTCGGCCACGACTTCTGCTGGTTCGCTCGTCATCCATCGCCCAAAATCAGTCTTTTCAGACTCGATTGTAAGAGTATAGAAGTTGGGATGCAGAAGATGGTTTTGCCTGTACCGCTCAGACTTGTACCTAATCTCTGTTGGTTGAACTTCCACCTCATCCGCATTAGCCGCGTTAGCATGCCGAAGATAACGCTGCGGCTTCCGGATATAGTCCATGAAATTGATGGGATACAAGCCGTAGAGAACGGTAAAGTAGTTGGCGAGGTGAGGAACCTCGATGTCGTCGGTCTCAGGAGAGTACTGGCATGTTTCCCACCCTGAAGGCGAAGCAAGGCTCTTTTGCTCGCTTTCATCTGATGTTGCCTCGATGATACCCGTCCGTTCGCTGTCCCAGAAGAGCAACCGCGCATAGATGTTGAACAGATTGGGGAGATGTGGCACCAGGGAGCTGGGCATATGTGGCAATATCATGATGAGGGCGGTAATGGCCATCGAAATGGCAGTAGTCGATGTGTCTTGTTGCAGGCATCGCAGCAGATTATTGAACAGCGGCGTCTGCAGTATCAGGTGTAGGTGTGGTGGTTGGCTCTGGACAAATTCGCACAGCAGTTTGGCCGCCCTCGCGCGGAATTCACTCCGCACGAAGCACGTATCCAAGGTGAAAAGGAAATCCTGCCATGCCATGAGACAAGTGGTCGCACCCACGATAAAAACGATTTTGACTTACCTTGGGCTTCCTCCTGCCATACGTAATCAAGGCCTGGCGTATTGCGCGCTCGCTGGATTGTACAGTCAAGTCACTTTCAGACTGTATCTTGTAGTATTTTTCTAGCCATGATGACAATAGCCTCTTGGCGAAAGGATTCACAACTCGCTCTTCATTTGAATCGTCTTCTTCGTGCGCGTCCAGCATCAGAACCTCTAGCGTCGCATGGTGAGACTCTTCCATCAAGCCCTTCTCCCGAGTAAAGTTCTCCAGGATCGGGTCGTTGAGTAGATCCCACCACTTGAGAAGGCGGGCCGGTGTACGGATCGCAGGTACCAGGAGTCGGAAGACGTGGATGAAGGCGGCATACTTGGGTGGTGCGCCCTTGACATGCTTGTCCCAGATGCCGAGGAAGTCATCTTGTAGTCTCTCGGCACTCGAATCATCGTATTTCTCGTGCTTGTTCAGGTAGGCATCGATGACTTGGGCGACATCGTCGGGTAGCGGGAGGGAAGGCGAAGCAAAGAAGAACGTCAAGGCTTTGGACAGGTCCTTGAGAGACCTAAAGAGTTTGGTATTAGCCCTATCGTGCGCGTTGTCGCAAGTCGCAAGTGCGGGTTAGTTGCGAGATGGTATATCGCGCACCACATGACGCAGCGACCAAGGTTGGAGGGAAATGAGGGAAAAGTCGCAGAGGAAATCTGGCCACTTACGCTGACGACGCCATTTTCTTAGCGGTGACTCTTCATCGAGCCTCACGATGTTCTTCGCTTGTGGAAAAAGCAAGGCAAGGTCCGTCTGTGGGCGCAGGTGGGTAAGTCGAGATCATGCAACTGTCAGGCAACGGCAACGGAATCTGCTGATGCAAGGTACAAGCTTTGCTGGGGACCCTCTCTCGAACAAGGCCGGGAACGCTGTAGAAGGCCGATAAGATAGGTTGGATCATTGGACGGCACGCTACAAGGCATGGGAGGGGCCTGACGAAAGACCACTGCTCGGCAGGACACGGCCAAACAGCTTTGCAGCACAGCTTGTGGTTGGTCTCGCTTAGTCTTGCTGTGGGGCATTACCTGCTAGGTCTCACAGTGCTCTGTCGCAACTCGCAGGGCTCAATTCATTGCCAGTGCGACACCTCCAAGGGCGGGCGACGCCGCAAGAAAAGAGAGTTCAAAGTGGAGATACTTGGATCTCGGTGTTCCGGGTGCCCTGCAGGCATGTACCGGGACCCACCAGTGACCTCACGGGGAGACTAACCCCGCAATCCGCGAAAGAGCGCCATGCACCGTGGGCCACCGATGCACCCGACCCCAGAAAACGTACGGGAGACAGTGGGGCCATTGGACCACTTGAAGCTGTTGTGGGTTGTGGCCTTTTCCAGAAACGCACCTGATCAGTCACTCAATGGCCAGTTGACTCAGCTGAGCTGGACGAGGGCAAGCGTACCGTAGGTAGCACGCGTGGGCAGGAGGGGTTGCTTTGGTTTGAAGCCGGCCAACTGCGCAGATCCAAGGGGGGGGGGGGGGAAGGGGGACATACCACGAGAAGAGGTACCTCAACGTCCACCTCAAGGTGATGCGTGAGGAGGTAGACATTCCGGAAGTCAGCTAACCTAAGGTCAGGTAAACCGTAACGAGGCAAGGAGAAGAAAAGGTCTGGTCGGTTGGTGGTGCAACTGCCAACCCCTCCTTTGACCACCTTTGACCAGATGACTCGACCCTTATTACTTCCTTCCCCTCCCTCCTTCCATCCAAATAGCTCAGAGCTTCCCTCTTCTCCTTCCACTTCCACTTCCTCTTCTTCTTCCATCATCACCAACGAACATCCCAATCTCATCAATCAATCGCCAATTCCAAGCAACGACCTTCTCCGAGAACTCATCTCGGTACCCCAATTACTCCAACACAACCCTACAGCTAGCACAAGCTGTATTACTTACTCTTTCCCCCTTGAACCACCCCATTAACAACCGGCACGATGGCAAACAAGAGCTCTGCAGTGGCGGACGAGCCCATTGAGGTTCTGTTCGCCCTGCAACCCAACTTCGACCTTCTTGACATGGCAGGCCCCATGGAGGCTTTGTCTACTGCCCTTCATGACCAGAAGGACAAGAGTGAGTACCTACCTTATTTACCTTCCTGGAAGCTTCTGGGCAGCTCCTCCTCACTGCCTTCCCCGCTCCTTCCGCCACGCACGCCGCTGTGATGCAGCCATGCTAATCAGTACCCAACCCCGCAGACTCCAAGGCCTTCGAGTGTACCATTGCGGCCGCAGAGCCCAAGGTCGTCTCCGACTCTGGTGTTACAATTGGCACCCAAATCCCCTTCAAGGAGGCCTATGAGCGCCTCAGCGACTTTGACGTTCTCGTCATTGTTGGCGGCGACAGTGAGAACATTCTCAAGAACAACGCCGAGCCCCTTCCTCTCATCCAGGCCTTCTCTGAGCTGCAGCAGAAGGACCCCTCCCACGAGCGTACCCTCCTCTCCATCTGCACCGGTTCTCTCTTCCTTGCCAAGCAGGGTGTCCTCGCTGGCCTCTCTGCCACTACCCACTCAGACTACATTACCAAGTTCGAAATCCTTTGCAGCGAGGCCGCTACCCGCAACCTCACTGAGAGAACTGATGTCATTGACGATGCCCGCTACGTCGTCAACAACCTCCGCTTCGAGCTCGGAGATGAGGACGAGAACCCCTACGTCCGCCGCAAGTCCGACTCCGGTCGCCGACCCTCTAACGCTAGGTACGTGGCCAGACCTACACCCCATCTTTAGTGCTACGAGTAAAACTAACTCTTTGAAATAGAAAGGGCAGCATGTCCTTCAAGAGCTCCGGCCGCCGCGAGTCCATTACCCGCCGTGCCGCGATGCGCCTCGGCGGCCTCCGCGTCATTACCGCCGCTGGAGTCAGCGCCGGTATCGATGCCGCTCTGTACCTTATTAGCGCCCTCGTCGACGACGCTTCGGCCGAGGAGACCGCTCGCTACATGAACTGGACCTGGAACAAGGGTGTGGTTGTTGACGGCCTTGATGTTTAAGTCAGACACCAATAGCCATGATAGATGGATGGTAAAAGTTCATCATGATTCATGAAGATCTGTAAGAAGGACGGGAAAAGCCTTCCAGATGTGTACGGGATAGTTGCGTCTCCATATTGCTAGCAATGCTGTGTTTATTAGTACAATCCAATTTTACTCCTTGTGGGAAACAAATTGTGCAGTCTACCATATGTGAGTCGAATTTGAGTCACTAGTCCACTTGCAGTCGACTCCATGTCCCACGCTAGTCGTACATGCCTTCTCAATGTGCTAGAATGGCATCGCAACGAGGGGAGGGGGGGGGGGGGGGGAATGCCAAAAACCCACCAGCGTTGGTACTTCCAATTCCCCTCATAAACCAGTGGAGATTAGACTCAGGTTTGTGCGCGGCCTTACATAACCCGTCTGGTCTTGGAATCTGGGGTTGGAGCTCTGACGGACAAGGCCATTCCTTGATGGGCACTGCCTCTTGCCTCACCGGCTGCTTTCTCGTGCCAGGTAAAACATCGGATATTGTAGGTGTGTGTACAAAGTAGTCCAATGATCTTCATGTCCTGTCCTACACATCTCGATGCGGTCGAAGCTATCTTGGACCGAGGTGGCTTGGACTCAACGTTCGTCTTTGTTTGTAAATATGAGGGGAGCAGCTCGGCTGATTCTCATGATGGATTACTTTATTGGCAGTACTAATTACTGAATTGGCGAGAGCGAGTATCGAGCTGTCCGGCTCAAACTTTCGGAGTCCGAGATCTACGCATCGCAGGACGTCGCGTGACATGCCTTGACTCCACCTCTGCTTGACACACAAGCAACACATCCTTGCCGTTTCTGCCGGGCTATACAACTGGGTAATAAGCTCGCAAGAAGAAACATGAGTTGATATACTTTGTCTGCCACTCATTAGATTTCCCATTTGACTGATGATGCTTGGGATCAAGCTAAGGGGTCCATTGGACCTGAAGCCGAGAAGTCAAGGCCCGGGGAGCAGACCCGGTCGGAAGTGGTATTGACCTCCTGTGGGGACACCTTGAGGGAGCTATCGGTGACCCAATTTTCCCGCACCTAGGTACGCCCGGCACCAGCAAATCTGGACCCACTAGAGAGAGCGGAAATACGTGACCCCGACTCAACCAATCAGCAATCAGATCAATCCTGACGGTCAACTTTTTGGATTCTCGCATCGCAGAAGCTCCACGGTCGATTAAGCTCAGCCAAACCAACGACGACAAGATGGCGGAGGCATTGGCACAAGCGGTAGCCCGCCAAGGGCCGGCATCCTTCAAGCTTGGAACGAAGGCAGTGTATTTGTATGTTCACTTTCCCAAAGCACAGATACCTTCACCCGAGATCACCTCCCTTCCCCCTTTGGCGCCACTTACCTCGAAGTTATCGATCATAGAAAGCTGACCTTTCTCCTCCAGGCCGAACCATGTCGTCACCTTTGTCCGCAAGGACAAATCTCCAGCCAACATGGCCACCTTCAACGTGCCCCTGACCTTTACAAAGTTCGACATCCGCGACTACCTCTGGAACCTCTACAACGTCGAGACGACGGCGGTGCGCTCGCAAGTCAAGCAGTCGGCCATCGAACGGCGGTCGACGGGCTCCGGCTACTTCCGCCCGCAGAGCACCAAGGTCATGACGGTGCAGCTGACGAAACCCTTCGTCTGGCCTTCCCCGCCCGCGGACCTCGAGCCTTGGAACAAGAAGCTGTGGGAGGCGCGCGAGAGCGTCTCGCGCGAGCAGTACCGCGGCGACATCCGCAAGCAGCTCGGCAAGCTGGCGTACCCGAGCAAGGACAAGGAGAGCGCCGAGAGGAAGTTTTTGCGCAAGCAGGCCGGCAGGATCTTGCGCGGGGCGGCGTCTGGCAAGTGGGATCAGGGTACGAAGGAGGTTGAGCTGGATAGCAAGTGGGATCCGCCCAAGAAGAAGAAGGGCAAGAAGAACTGGCGGTGGATCAAGAGACAACCGAAATGATCGTGGAGAAAATGGAGAAAATGAGTCTTATTTTTTTTCTTTCTCCCGTCGGGGAAGTTCATGGATGAGGGGGCAGCGACAGGAAGGGTGAGAGATATTCACGTGTACAAAAATCGAAAGAACCATAGTGAGCATGCGGATCGGCATGTCTTGTACAATACACAACAAGGACGACATGAGATAGAGAAAAAGTGTCAATTGGTTTTGGTATCTTTGGGTTCGGATTTCTCAGTCACGCTCTGCCTCGATTCTTCAGATGATGTGACCCAGTGATGGGACTCTTGAAAGCGAAGAGCTTCGTTGCCCCATCCCCACCAGCCAGCAGTCAGATTACGCGCAAACACCTCTAGGCCGCGATATCCTCGGGGCAGCAGGTCGTCAAACATGCAGCGGAGATTTGGCTTCCGCGAGTGAACGTCAGGGACCGCGGCAATGACCCTCCCGGGCACCTTTATATTGTCACCCCGTTTCCTCGCGACGATGAGCCTCTCCCAGGGTTTCCTCCACGCAGATTCCGTGTCAAAGATGGCATCGCCTTGCGACGTAATCTTGACCCATTGCCACTCGGCAGCGACTTCGAGGCCCCACGACGCGAGGACGCCCTTGGGCGAGGTGAGCAAGTCTACCAGCGTCGCCTTGTTCGTCACCCAGACAGCGACGAGACCGCCGTCCGCGAGATGGGCGGCGACGGGGATTCGACCCAGCAGCGCGCGCGTCTCCTTGAGACCGTAGACGGTGTCGTAGCCGCCAGTCGTCTTCTTCTTTCTTCTCGCGGACTTGTTCGGCCAGGGAGGGTCCATGACGATGAGGTCAAACTTGGGCGCCGTCGAGAGGAATGATTCTCTAGTCTCCTGGATCGAGCCGTTCAGGTACGTAGATTCTTGGGGGATAAAGTGCGCCGCAGCCGCAGCCGCAGCCTGCCCAGAAGCGACAGCGGTAGTGGCAGCGGCAGCATTGTCGCCGTTACGTTTGCGTGCGGGATGATCCTGCGGGCTTACGCTGCTTTCACGACCGGCGGTGCTGACGTTGCTGCTGCTCCCGCCGCCCGTTACACGAGGAAGACAAAACGGCGCGTCGTAGCCCCGTCTTAGCGTATTGAGGGCGACTTTCACCGCCGCCTCGATCATGAGGTCTGCGAGTTGGCTGGCCGGCGTCTGGTTGTTGGTTTGAGGGTCCCGGGGCTCTGGTAGTGTAAATGGCGCGGAGACGGGTTCGACCGAGAGGAGCCGTCTCTGTGGTGGTTGTCCTATTGTCTCGGCACCTTGGTCCGGTAAGAGCTGGCTCTCCTCTAACGAGGCGGGGATATCGACGAGACACACGGAGCGGTCTTTATTTTGGAACAAGATGCATCTCGGCGACGAGCATGCCTGGGAGGACTTTGATGGAAGACTAGTAGAGGTCATGACTAGAATCGTATCTTCTTCTCATTCTTCACCTTAGTATAACCAGGACCAGCGTGCCTTGCCCCTGTGGCTTTGACCCGGGGCGTCTTCCCCGGAGGCTTGATTTGAGGCCCGGCGCAGTCCAAGTGCCCCTCGACCGGACCCGGGTGGGGGCTTGACTGTGGTGGCCGTGGGAGAAAATAGTCCGGTGCTTGTAGTCCCCAATCCTACCGAGGCCCTCCTGCGTTGGTGTGGTTTCCCCTTGGACAAGCGGTCTGGTGTGTTAGTTAGTTTCTGTGTGTGAGAAAAGTTTTTGCGGTCAGTCCCCGATTTGACTGCCCACATGGAGTGAAATAGCGGAGGTATCGTGGGTATCAAAGGTCTAACCCCGGACCGGAAGTGAGTAAAAGCAGAGAAGATCCTGGAAAGACAGCTCGCTGGAGAGGTCAAGAAGTTGAAAATGACCATCCGCCCGCGTCGTCGCTCGGCAATCTTCGGCTCGTGGCCCAGACCCCTGTACTCCGTACTAGAACTCTCAGCGGGCAACCCCCAATTTACCGCTCGTGCGCCACGCTCCTCCCCCGTAGAGCAACAGTTTTGTGCAATGAGAAGGAGCCTTTTTAAAATCTCGCCTTTATGACGTCCCGCCCCGTCGCATTTCGGCTTTAGACCCTTCCCTTCCCTTCCCGCACTCTGCCTCCTTGAACCTTCTCCACGATCACCACTCTCCCCCACGATCCTTACCCTCCTCGCGTGCCAGCTCGTACGTCGGGCTCCTTTTAAGCTTTCTTTATCAGTCTTCGAATCTTTGACCCCGAAAACCTAGAAACACACATCTCTCGAAAGAACGACTTGCGGAATGCTTCTCGAGTAACGCCGGGCCCAACAACCTCACAAACAGCCAAAGCGAAAGAGCGCGCTCGCGGGGTTGCGCTGACTAGGTGATGCCGTCAGCGCTGCTGGAACATGCCTCCATGTCGGAGGTAGCACCAAACAACCAACGAAATGCTGCGCGAGCGAAGCCAGACACGAGGGCCCCTCCCGTGTGCCCTACCGACGACGACGAGACGGTAGCCGTGAGGAAGCAGACGCGGACGTTCGACTATGTCTGGCGTTCCGGTGTCGCGGGAGGCCTGGCAGGATGTGCTGTAAGTAGCAATAGGAACGAATCGGCGTAGAGAGGATATCCGTCATGCTGACGCAGATTTGTACCACAGGCAAAGACGGTTGTCGCACCTCTTGACCGAGTCAAGATTCTGTTCCAGGCGAGCAGTCCGCAATTCGCAAAGTACACTGGGTCGTGGTTCGGTGTCGTGACGGCAATGAAGGATATTCGCTCCCACGAAGGCTTCACGGGGTTGTACAGAGGGCATTCGGCCACCCTCCTCCGAATCTTCCCCTACGCCGGAATTAAGTTTCTTGCATACGAGCAGATCCGCTCCATGATTATCAGGAGGCAAGATCAAGAGACGCCCTGGCGCCGTCTTATCAGCGGCTCCCTGGCGGGCATCACATCCGTCTTTTTCACATATCCCTTGGAGGTCATTCGGGTCCGGTTAGCGTTTGAGACAAAACACGGCGGTTCCTCGTTATCCGCGATTTGCCGGCGGATCTACAACGAGCGTTTTGTGCGGACGTCCCCCGCCTCGCAAGCAGCCGGCACCTCGGCAACTGAGGCGGCCGCCTCCGCCGTCACCGCCGTTGCCCCACGCTCGGGTCTGATCAACTTTTACAGAGGCTTCACCCCGACCATGCTGGGCATGCTTCCTTACGCCGGCATGTCCTTCTTGACGCACGACACGGCCGGTGACGTCCTCCGCCACCCCAAGCTCGCAAAATGGACAACGCTTCCGCGGCCCGAGAACTTGCCTGCGGGCAAGCCCACACCGCTGCGATCGTGGGCCGAACTGCTCGCCGGTGGTGTTGCCGGCCTCATCTCCCAGACTGCATCGTACCCCTTGGAGGTCATTCGCCGGAGAATGCAGGTCGGCGGTGCCGTAGGCGACGGCCACCGACTGCGAATCGGGGAGACGGCCGCCATGATTTTCCGGGAGAGGGGTATGCAGGGGTTCTTCGTAGGCTTGACTATTGGCTACGTCAAGGTTGTGCCCATGGCAGCTGTCGCCTTTTACACGTACGAGAGATCCAAGATCTGGCTGGGAATTTAGACTGTCTATCCTCTGTTGTATGGGTTGCTGTTTGAGTTTGGCGTTGTTGGAACACTGGGACAAACAAGCATTTTTTGGGAGAATTTTCTTTCTTTTTCATGAAATACGCGGGCTAGAGGAGCAGTTCTCTTGGGACCAAACCAAAGGAGTAAGAAGGAGCACTAGAATGGCGGCTGTTCTGCACATGCCAATCATCCAATCCATTTATGGATTTATTGCGCTACACGCCAATACCTTGACTTCATTGCGCGATGTGGAAGATGGGAGGTTTTGAATCGCTTTATTTGATGTGACTGAGACAACGTAGGGGCATGGTATTCTAAGCTCGTAATTCGTAAACTCATTCCTTCTCCTCACCAACACATCTTGTAATCTCAACACCATCCTAGCGAGAGATTTTTGTCAGCACTGATATAAGCGAGAGCAGTCAATCCAGAGACCGAGAACTTACAGGCACACCAGTCGGCTCAAAGCTGTTGATGAGCTTGCTCTCATATCGCAGATTCGGGTTCCCGATGCGCGACAGGTCCAACCTCTCCTCACCCTCCCGCTTCTCGTACTGCTTCGCCGTGCGCTCGTCATGCCACCCGGCCGCCTTCCTCGCGGCGCCGACGTCTTTCGCCGCGGCGCGCTTGTCAGCCACCGAGCTGCGGACGTACTCGAGGTAAGGGGGGTTGCCCGGCTTGATGACGTTGTCGGCGGCGAGGACGGAACCGGGGCCGACGAGGCTTAGTTGTTCGGCGAGTTTGAGGTCCGTGGTGTAGGCGGGTTTGTAGTGGTCCAGGAACATGAGGTCGATTTTGGAAAAGGCGCCGACGGAGTGCAGCCGGGCGATGGAGGCGTCGCTGGGGCCGACGACGACTTTGACCGTGTCGGTGAGGCCGGCGAGGTCGACGAGGGAGCCGATGACGGCGGCGAATTCGGGGTTGCGCTCGAGGGAGAAGTATTGCGCTCCGCCTCCCGGGGAGGCTTTGCGCACGGCGGCGCCGAAGAGGATGCAGGAGTAGCCTACGTAGCCTCCTAATTCGACCTGTTGGTGGGTGTTAGAGATGAGAGAGAGCGAGATTGGATGAAAAGGTTTTCAGATATGTTCAGATCATGCATGGCTAGAAAGAGCGTTCGGATGGTTGCATGTGCGATTTCCATCTCAAAGTCTGCTCAACTTGCGACGGAAACCCGCATGTAGAAATGAAGCTTTTTCTCTTACCATTACCTTGGGCTTGACCTCGGCGATCAAGTCTGTCACAATCTTGCCCTTGTCCTCGCCCACGTTCATCAGGTATTTCTTGGTCCGGCCAAAGTCGTCAATCGCCTTCAACACGCCCTCGGGCGAGCCGCGGATCTCATCGAGATTGGGCTGGCTGTAGACAAAGTGTAGGAGTTCGATTTCGCGGCCGTCGTCGAAGAATACTTCCTCCTGGACGGCGTATGCCTTGCTTTCGTCAAAGTGAGGCATCTTGGAGTTTTGTGCTTGCCAACAGGAACGAGAATCACCGATCGTTTGCAGTTATTGGGCACTTGGTACACCACAATTGGAAAGGAAGATCTATGTAGACAAAGTACTAGGAAGAATGCGAGAAGGAAGGGAAAACAAAACAGAACGCGTGCCCAGGCAGCTCATCCAAGGGCCGCTGGTCTAGTTATCATCACGATGGATGAAACAGACCTTCCCACCACCTAAACCATCAAACGCCGCCTCCGTCGCGCGCAAGCAAGGAATTCCGAGCATAGCAGGTACATTTGACGGGAACCGTAGCTCTCGGCGAGCTTGACCACCTTTTCCACACCCTCCTACCCCAACTTTCTCGTTCCCCCCCTCCACCCCTGTGGAGCTGCCCCTCCCTCCTCCGATCTTTCCAAATCGAATTGGCCAGGCAAAAATTGCCGGGCAAAAGCACAGCAGCATCAGGAGCAGCAGCAGCAGGAAGAAGGCTCAGCCATCATCCATGACATGCCTTTGGCTCTTTGAAAAGCTGCCTTGAGGCAAGGCGCCACATGGTACCTATGTAGCTCAGGCCGAAGAAGGAAGAGAGAGACATGAATCGGGTCATGGCGGGGTAACTGGCTGGACCTTGCCATCCCGCGAGATCGTGATTCGCAGCTTCCGTAATGTGTTGAGGGAGAATGCGGTATGTACCTACCTTTTCCTGGAAATGGCAGAAGCGGTACGTGTCTACCTACCTTATACTGGACAGATACAAAGGTACCTCATCAGTACAGGAGAACGGGAGTACGGGAATACAAAATCATGTGCTTTCGCGACGATTGCGGGTAGTGGTACGCGGAGAGGGGCAGTTGGCTGGGCACGGTAAGTCATGACGCGCATACCACCTCATCAACCGCGTCGACGATGTAATTGAGTTTTGCTTTCGAGCTTTCTCGACTGCACACCAACTGCAGCCTTTTCTCAGCTCATGCCAGCTTTTCTCGGCCGACTGCGGGGTTTTCCCAAACGTCTTAACTGCCTTTGGCCTTTTTCTCAATCAAGGTGCGTCAAGCCAACGGTAGCGCGAATCCAGAGGGGGCAAGGCGAGGCGAGGGACGCCGCTGATCCAACACCAGCATGCGACTTGATGCTTTCATCCGATCCAAGGCTCCCACGCTTGACAGCATTTGAACAAATCCGATGAACCAGAAATGCAAACTGCATCCATGTCCTCAACGCATGCTCTTCTTCCCCCAGCCAACGAGAAGCTGTCGAGGTCCCGATGCGGCTCGCCGGAGGGTTGTCTCCCCCTGGTCTGTCCTCCCCCCTCTTCCCCACGTGCGAGATCTAGATCTCACGACTCGTGTCGATCATCTCCTGGGAGCAAAGGCAATCAGCATTTTGGGGCCTGGGCTTGTCTCTGATGGCCAACGTAGCTAGCCTGCTCTAGCTACGCTTGGCTTCGCGTTCCTACCGCAGAACAGAATTATCGAATGTCGATGACGGAATCGACTTTTCGGACTGAAACATGGGATTTCTCTAGCTCTCGTCCTGTTTGCCGTTTTGCTTGACATGACAAGCGGCAAATGGGGAACATCGGAAGGCGCTCCGACAATAGCACGCCATCTTCCCGCCCCGCGGACCGCATTGGTTTGTGACACAACAAGCACGCAGAGAGCCTGTGGCATGCGGAACTAACGCCAGAACGGACGCCAGGCCTCGTTTCTAGACGTCTCCGGGGCCAGAAGCTGTAGCTCCATTGGCAAATGTCATGAGCATCACGACACTCCCTCTGCACGTTGCCGTCACGCAGCAACCGTAATACGAGAGGAACGAAGAGATCTGTGTGGAAAAAACCGCGCATCAAACGAGGACGATCCCATCAAAGCTTGTCCGTACTAGTAACTCGCTTGTGCCACCAAAGTTTGACGGCAACATCGAGTCGAATGTACTTGTCACCGTTTCTCCTCTCTTGTCAACTACCGCGTTGCGCCAGCTTGCTGTACCCAAAGGTAAAGCAGCGTAGCTCTAAGCTTAGGCGCCCGGGACAAGCCGGGGTCTTGCCTTTTGACTCCTACCCTTGCTGGTCGTCTCCCGATGACTTGCTTTCGTCTACCTTGGGATTGTGTAACTTGATCCTCTTTTGAGGAGTCGGTCAAGCTGGAGTGGGCCTAGGTGAGCGTTGGAGGCGCAAGTGATGATGTCGACAATTCGTCGACATTTCTCCGGGCTTTGACATTCGCCGAAAGAGTATTGAATACTGGAACCAGAAGTATCTCATACGGCTGCGGTCTTGTCTCGTAGTTCTTGCTATGGGGAGCTTAATTCATTCAAAAGCCTGATGTTGGAAGCACCTCTCTGGCACATTTCTTTCATCCTCACTCTCATCTCACTGAACAACTCTCGAGGTCTTTTATCTTGACAAGCGCACTTTCTTCCTTCCCATTGTGCAATCGCGCGACTGAATCAATACCTATTCTCCCTTTTCATAAGATGGCATCAGACATGAAGGCAACGGTTGAGCCCACCAAGAAGGGTTTCTCCGTCTGCGGTTACGAGAAGATCGAGTATGACTTCGAGTTCCTCGATGGCGTTTTCAACAAGCAGAACAGCCAGCTGGCCGACTGTTACTCGCGCTGGAAGCGATGCTTGGCTGTCATGGACCTCAACATCTTCAACATCTACGGCAAGGAGATGAAGGAGTACTTTGACCACCACAACATTGAGCTCAAGATCCACAAGACCATGATTGGTGAGAAGGCCAAGTCTATGGAGACGTTACTGAGCATCGTCGATTCTATGACTGAGTTTGGTGTTTACCGCAAGGTTAGTGTCTCGTCTTCATTCGAGCTATCGAAGCTGCCTAACACCAATTGAAGGAGCCTGTTCTTGTTGTTGGGGGTGGTCTGGTCACAGATGTTGCTGGGTATGTCTCCTTACAGGAGGTCCTCTGACTTGCTTGACTTCTAACACAACCCAGCTTCGCATGCGCTGCCTACCGCCGCAACACGCCATTCATCCGCATTCCCACAACAGTCATTGGCCTGATCGATGCTTCCGTATCCATCAAGGTCGCTGTCAACTACGGCAACTACAAGAACCGTCTGGGCGCATACCACGCACCAACCCACACATTCCTCGACTTCACTTTCTTGCGAACTCTTCCCACCGCACAGATCCGCAATGGCTTTGCCGAGCTGATCAAGATCTCTACTTGCGCCCATCTGGAGACATTTGACCTGCTGGATCGCTTCTGTGAGGAGCTGATCAAGACTGGTTTCGGTCGCACAGATGGAGCTAGCAAGGAGGTCAGGGATGCAGCTGACAAGATCAATCGCAATGGTATCCACGAGATGCTGAAGCTTGAGACCCCCAACCTGCACGAGATTATGCTTGATCGTGTCATTGCATACGGCCACACGTAAGTCAACTTTTTGCCCTGCATACGTCACGAGTGGACTAGAAGTTAACCCCCCACGCGCAGTTGGTCACCTCTCCACGAGCTCTCCCCTGATGTGCCCCTGCGCCACGGCCACGCTATCTCTATTGACATGGCCTACTCCGCAACTCTCGCTCACGTCCTCGGAAAGCTCTCCTCGGATGAGCACCGCCGCCTGCTGAACCTCTTCTCCCGCGCCGGTCTCTCCATGGACCACCCGCTGTTTGACGAGGACATGCTTGAGAAGGCCACCTCTGCCATCCTCAAGACCCGTGACGGTAAGCTGCGCGCTGCCGTCCCCTCACCTCTGGGCAACTGCGAGTTCCTCAACGATGTCTCCCACGAAGACATGTGCGCCGCCCTCAAGGTGCACAAGGACCTTATGAAGGAGTATCCTCGTCAGGGTGCTGGGCTCGAGGCCTACGTTGACGCAAGCGATACTGGCTACACGATCAATGGCTCCTCCGTGGAGGACGAATCTCGCAAGCACATGAACGGCGTCGAGCAGACCGTTACCCGCGACGACACTATCTCGTCCAACGGCTCGTCGACACCAGAGTATGGCTTGTCAAATGGCAAGAACTTGGACCAGGATAATGCTACCTATGCCGCTGCCGGCTTCGAGCCCGAGATCCTTAAGAAGCTTAATGCCGAGGAGATGAAGAGCTCCAGCACACGTGGCAAGGTCCACGTTGATGAGGAGTGTTGCTAGATCATCTGCATACCGAAAAGTTTTCTTTTGTAAAGCGGCGAAACAAATACTGTCAGTATATTTGCATCAACTCAGGGGTCATTAAAAACTCGAGCATAGCTCTTGAGGGAACTTGAATGGATTCACTTTCAATCACAATGTAAGCCACGCGCGCGTGCACAAGTCTCGCAAGACGATATCGATTTATACAAGTGATAACATTTCCATGTTTAAAAGCAACTGACAACGTCAGCCCCCCCAAACCCGGGTACTCACATGCTTCTCTTATTATATTAAGATTCCCCAACACATTTTGTATTCAATCCATTGTGCCCTTACTTTCTCTCCTCCCCCTCCGATAAAAAAAAATATAGAGATCCAACTCCCGAACCCACAAACCATAATCATATCCACCTCCTCGCCTTCCTTCGACCCGCATCATAGACCTTCCCATCGTCCCTCCTCGTCACCAACCAGAAATACAAAGCCTGCCCGGCTAGCTCAATCGGTAGAGCGTGAGACTCTTAATCTCAAGGTTGTGGGTTCGACCCGTAAGTTTACAGTTTCTACCATCATCGGAAGATGGTTCGTCATTCGAACATCGTCACTAACTCCCAGTCAGCCACGTCGGGCTCAATTCCCGTCCGCGATTGAAGCGCACTCATACATTTTTTGTTATAGTATTTAGAGATTTAATTGTGGTCGAAAGGTTGGTCTTTTGTTATTGCTCTTGTCCAGGTTTTAATCCAACTTGTGTTTCTGTGTGGTTGTTCGAGTGCGGGTACTGTAATAGTTGTAAGTATCGTAACGTAGCAGATGGAACTGGAAAATTTCGAAAGTCAGTTTGCACATAGAGTGACTGGTTTCCATCAACTTCCGAAATGCGTAACGAGTAAAAAA